GTATGTGTGGATGATTGGATAAGAGCCAACAAGAGAATACAAGAACAAAAACAATATGATTTCAATGAAGAAAGTATGGATCTAACATCCGACGGCACAACAACGAAACTTCGAGCCGGAACTTCCGATCAAGAAAGTAACTAGGCGCAACCATATAGAACATAGATGTAATTTGTAAAGGGGTGATTTGAAATGTAAAAGAGAACTACGTAAGCTTTGATTCCTCTAAACCCCGAGAGAATACCTAGGAAGCTTAATTTTTGTAGTGTTTACAAAAATTAAGTTCAAGCCCTTCTTTATTTATTTCTTTTTTTCTTTGATTTATTGTATGAAATACATGATAATGTAAAAAATATTATAATATTTATACATTATGCAAAAAAGAAGTTTTTTCATTTCAATGTTAATGTTGAGAAAAAATGTTCTATTTTTTTATTTTTTCATTTAATAAAAAAACCGTTGAACCGTCGGTTTCAAACGATTTGAAACCGTCGGTTTTACGATTTCAAACCGAAACCGGAACCGTCCATAGAAGGTTTGGTTAAAGTTTCACCTTTTGGTGAAACCTTAACCAGCAGCTTCCTAAACCGAAACCGGTGGTTTAGGAACCGTTACCATGATTGCACATACATGCCCAAGAGCCAAGCCTCAGTGCTTGGTCAACCCAACGAAAAAAAAAAGAATAAAAAAACTAGAGTACTCGTTCATCTAATGTTGAAAGACCCCAATTCTTTTAGTTTCTTTGTAATAAATAAATAAATGAAGGTCATTTGAGTTAAATTATTATTATTATTAATCTTATGTAAATTATGTGCATGTTAATTTTGATAAATTATCTCAACAAAAAAGATATGTTAAAAAATAGGATAAAATAAGTTATAATTTCTTGCGTTTTATTGGTGAGATTGATCTTAGTAACAAGACAAAATGATAAACACACTTTAGAGGTAAAGTTATTTTCGTTTAATAATAGAGTGAATGGGTTATAGCTGCATAACGAAAAATAGTCTTCTTGTAAAATTTTAAATCTTTATTGTCTGTTACGATTATTTAGAATTTGGAGAATTTTTCAATGGTAAAATTCAAAAAACATAACGGATAGGCGTAACCTTGGTAGTCTTTTAAAACATTTTTAGTTTTCAGTTTTATTCGAAAATGGTTGTGTTTACTTTTAAAAAATAGTTTTTTAGTTTCCATCTATAAATTTTATTTATTTTGAAAAAAATTTTCCTAAAAAAACGATAAAATATGTCTTATAAGTACAAAACTTCAAAAATAGAAAATAAAGCCTTATCCGGCTTACATTAAAAATGAATGACTCAAAAATCAGGTTAACCAAACATGGCCCTTGTTATTATTTCTAACTAGAACATAATTTTTTTCAATAAATACGATTTTAAAATTTAAACTTTGGATATTGATAAAAAAATTCATATAAGAATCAACTTGTTACTAATAGCCAACTTATTGGTGCAAAACACTTTCTTTTTATTCGATACAATTTGAAAAACATCTATTTTGAGTTTTTTAGAAAATTAAAAAACAAGCATTTTATTTTTAATTAGGAAACACGTTATCTTTAATTATCTGTTTTCTATAATTTTTTTCTTTCTCAAAACTGAAAATTTCCAGAAGTAAACTCGATATACGCGTACAATCAATAATTTAAAACTATACCCGTGTTTATGGGTTCAAAAATTAGGAGGATAATTAATCATAAGATGCCCAGAGATTACTTATTAGAATATTAATAATAAGCCTCTTGCAAAAAGATTGACAAAATTTTAGGAGCCGAGCAATCATACCAAGTACTAACATAGAATGAGACTTAACAATTCTTATCGTCTTTGTACTACAAGCAATTATTTAATCAGGTTTTTTGCACTATTTTAAGTGTTAATTAGATTTTTGTATTAAATCAATTTATTTAATGTGAATTCTATATTAATGATTTGGCTAACAGTGAAAGTCAATCACACGCGGCAATGTTCTTTAACCGTTGATTTCGTTATTTCTTTTCTTTCTATTTTTTATTACTTAAATTATTTACAGCAAGTATAATAATAAAAAAATCTAAAGCTGACAGAATCATTTTTGCAAAAAAATTTATTTTTTTCATATATTTTTTATAAATGCTTCAAGTAATAAAAAATGAAAATGACAAAAACAATTAACAAAATCATCGGTCAAAAAACACGTATTGTTTGATTATGTTATTAATTTAATATCTTTAATCAAACCATTGATAAAAAAATAAATTAATTTAATATAGAAATCTAATCAACACTTAATTTGATATAAAAATATAATTAAATAATTGATTGTACCAAGTGACGGTAAATTAACTCCATATGAAAGCGTAAAATTGTAAACTAATACCGTTGACAATGGAAATCGAAACGTTCCATCGAGTAAACAAACAAAAAACGGCTGAGTGAAAGCTATGGATTTCTTAAAAAGAGAGGATCAAGATGCCGATTTTCAATCACAAAATTCAATGGCGATTACTATGGACGTTTTGTTTGGAAAGGAAAGCAAAGTCGAAGAAGAAATCTCTTGTTCAAAGTCTTTATCTCCCATCGAATAAAGTAACATGGAAATGGATTATTTTTCAATTCAATAGCACGTGTGTAGAGATAGCTTCACAAACCGACCACGACTTCCCGCACGTGGTGTAATAAAAAAAACAGGTAAAACTTTGTTGCTGAAGGGGTTAGGTAGTCGACCGTTCTTTCATTGCCACGTGGAGTAGAAAAATGAGTAGGTAAGGTAAGCAGGTAATCGACAGTAAATTTAATTCAATTAATTACAATTTGAGAAAAAAGAAAGAAAGAAAGTCGGCTGACAGTGAGTTTAATTGATGTGTAAGAACTACTGAGTGGGACCTGGCAGTAGGTGCTCTTAGCATCTTTTTTCTCCCCCTCTTTCCTTTTGTGTTTTTTTGCATGGATGGGTTTATTGAGTTTTATATTCATCCATTACATGGTAATTAAATAAACTATGATCATTGATATTTTGATCCATTTCTTCTTAAAAAGATGCCAAAAATCCATTATTTTAAGATAAAATTTATAATATACAACGAGTAAATAGTGATAGCTGATAAGTTAATCAATTTTTTATAAAATTTAACTGTCGTGTCATAAAATTTTTTGATACACGTGAATTTAAAAATAATCTAACATGAAATATTAACATAAGCTTGATTAAGGTTAATCATTTCCTTATGAACTTTGGCTGTCATGTCACAAAATTTTTTGATGCATGTAGATTTAAAAATAATATGTCTTGGAATATTAAAAAATAAAGAGACAAGCATGATTAAGGTTTTGCCGCTACTCTAAGACATTGAAAGTCAGATTTTCTCTTTTACAAAAAACCAAGAGCAATTTGCTGGGAAAGCAAGAGAATTAGAGTTTTCATCTTAATTGAAAGAGAAGAGAAAAGTGTAGTATGTCGAATTTAAATCAAGAGCAAATCTAAGTGTAATTTTATTTGAGTATCTCAAATTTTTTTTTATTAATTCACATAATGTATATTATTTTTATTGTTTTTGGATTTGATCCTTGAACATTGTTTTATTTATGCAGTCATTTATTACAGTTGACATTTGATAAATTCATTTTGAAATAATCTAATAATTTTTCTTTGTATTCTTTAAATTTTTCAATGCGCTATTTCTATTTATTCTGTTTTCATTATTTTTCTAAACATGACATCTCCAATGAGACATGGTCTTATTTTCAGCAACAATTGATTCGCAAACATGTGAAAAAAAAAATTATCTTTTTTATGCTTAACAATTAAATTGGATGCTAATAATAATAATAAAAAAAAAGAAAATCAAACCTCGCCTCTCGGCTGAAACTTTTCCAAGGTTTTTTGTTTTTGTTTTGGGCGTTTTGAATATTTATGTTATTAAATGCATCTGAAGAGATTTAATGTTAATGCTGCTTTCATCTAAAAAGCTCAAAAGTTTTATCTTTTTCTTTTCTCTGGAGTTTATTATATATATAAACTCCAGAGAAAAGAAAAAGATAGTACTTTATACATATACAACGAAAAAAACTTTACCTCTAAAGTGAGTTTATCATTTTGTCTTGTTACTAAGATCAATCTCACAAATAAAATGCAAGAAATTATAACTTATTTTATCCTATTTTTTAACATATCTTTTTTGTTGAGATAATTTATCAAAATTAACATCCACAAAATTTACATAAGATCAATAATAATAATAATTTAATTCAAATTTCCTCCGTTGATTTATTTATTGCAAATAAACTAAAAAAATTAAGGTCTTTCAACAATAAATAAACAGTGATGAACAATACTCTAGTTCTTTTATTTTTTTATTTTATAATTTTTTATGTAATTTTTATATGTATTTACTTTTGCTAACACGAGTCACTTTCATGCATTTAATATGTTATTTATCTAATACGACAACTCACGTATCATTTATCACAAATTTGGACGGAATCGAAGGGAAGAGAAAATATTAAAAAAAATATAAAGAGCGATGATCCAATAAATAAAAATAACAATAAAAAACATAGGTGAAGAAAATATAAACAGCAGAGGGAAGAATCATGCTACTAATCCAATTAATTTTCTAACCATAAGTAGTAATCAATGATAAACAAGTATCCATTTATAGATTAGAGTGGGGTCGCATGGCTAAAGCTGGTGCAGGACATCCTTGCTGCTTAAACTGAAAAATAATTAATTTTTTCAGATTTTCACCGGTCAACACCAACTGGACCCACCCTTTTGAATACCCTATTGCCTTGTGCCTTTTAGAACGGACAACGAAAATTGATGAGAGTTTGGAGTACAGGGGTACAATTTCTGTGCGGCCAAATTTTTAGACCATCCAATCTTCCTCCTCTTCAATCATGGAGTACCAAACCCAACTTTTTTCTTGAAAACAGAAGGAGTGTTACTTTTTCTTTTTTTCTTTATAAAGGAAAATTGGCTTCCGGAGAAGGAAAGGACAAATGGAGTACTGGGCAGAGAAGCCAATGGAGGTGAGGGCAATGGAGGTTTTAGGAAAAGGGTTTGATTTGAGTAGTGATTTCAGATTGAAATTTGCAAAAGGAACGAGTAGTAATAATGAAAGGTTGGTGCTTTTGGACGAGACTAACAAAAGGGATGTTGTGTTTCCGGGTGGCCTTACTATTTCTAATGTTCCTGATGATATTAGATGTGATAAAGGTGACAGAACTCGTTACAAATCTGATGTTCTTGATTTCAATCAGGTCAGATTATGTTTATTTTATCTCTTCATTTCTTGTTTAGCTGGTAAATTATTATATGCTGAATTATAGAAATCTTCTTCCTTTTTTTGGGTTAATTAATCTGCTGTTGTCTGAGTTGCAGTGTTTGATTTGTTTTTCGATGTGGTAATTGTTGGAACGGTGTGTGCAATGTGTTTTAGGCATATAGTATAAAGTTTGCTTTTGCTATTCTGGGTTTGTTTTGTCGAGGGGGATTTGGAGTCTTGGATTGAAGCTGGTATCTTTTGCTAATATTTCCGTGTTCTGCTCAGTTTATCAAGTTTAATGAGAAATTGAGGTTTACTTGATGTTAACCTGAATTTGACTCCTGCTAATGGTCCTTTTTTTCCCGTTAAAGTGACAAGGGGGTATCGTTTGAAGGGCCTACTGGCTTTAATGATTTGGAAAGTATTCAATTTTTTTTTTTTTTTGATGTGTTTTTGTGTGGTGGCATGCGATGTTTGAACCGAATAAGATTGGATTTATGAATGACTTAAGTGGAGTGGAGATCTAAAAAAGTAGACTCTACTTTCTTCCGTTAGTCTACTGACGTGAAAGGACGAGTAAGTTTGGAAATTGGAGCCTCTAAGATATTGCTTGAATATAGTTTATGGGTGATGATGATGCCACTCCATGAGTTTATTATAGCACTCCACTTAACAATCAAAAGAGGTACTCGGACACCGGCTAGTGTGAAGCGACATTATAAACTCATGGAGTGGCATCATCACCACCCTTTATGGATGGATGATATCTAGTAATGATTTAGTATCTGGAACTGAAGAATCTATAAATTAAAATCTTTATGCTCTTAGAGACAACAAAATTGAGAAATTTAGAGATGCTGGTAGATGACAACATAATTTCTTGTCACACTCACAAAGGTTCTGTGTAGATAGAGTTTTATTGAGATTATTAGAAGATGGATCTTACTTGATTTACAAAATTTGGTCACAAGAAAGGTATTTGCTGGTCATTTTGCTGTCACAGAAGAAGGTCAGGGCTTATATGCTGTATGAGCCTTTCTTGGCTTCGTTTGACCAGTGACTGTTTTGACACTTGTGATTTTGTTTATGTTATAAAACGTAGCAGTTAAGAAAATGATGTCTGGAAAAAGTTTATGTTATGAATTTGTAGCGAAATGAAAATCCCAGAGCTTCAGCAAAGCAGTTTGAAGCAATGAGGTCACTGTGAGCCTAGGTTCAGCAAGTTTTCAAATGGAAAAGTTCTTTCCAGAAGGAAAATTCAGAATTTACATAGCAGAGTGTTAAAAAAGCATTAAGCCTATTATCAGATTATAGTGCACCATAGGGGAAGAGTTCTGAAGTCATGTTGTTAAAGCTACATGAATCGTGCAAAGGTAATATAACATTAATGACTCTGAGACTGATTTAGTAGTGAGGCGAGTGGAATTTTTATTTTTTAAATTCTGATGAGCACCTTCTTTTTTAAGATTTATCCTGATAAGCTGTACCCCTGATGCCAACATGTCTGCAATGACTAAGTCCTGGGAACCATATTGCTCCCAAAATTGCGTTTCTTGTACTATATGTACTATGTATTCATACAGACTACCTAAAGTGACAGGCAACATAAGATTATTAATCTGATGATGCTTGATTCTTTGTCCTCACTTCTTCAATTAATTTTGGATTCTAAATGCTATTTAAAAGAGTAAATTTTCATATTAAATGTCATTGAAATGTTTTGATTGGTCTGTTTACATTTGTATTCCAAGTCAATAGGAAGTAATTTATAACAAGCGTTATGTAATGGATCAGTAACACATTCTGTCATCTTCTTACCTGGCAGATGTCAGAGCTACTTAATCAAAAATCTTCAGTCCAAGGAAAAGTTCCTTCTGGGTATCTTAATGCTATTTTTGATTTAAGTGGAGACTGGTTTCATGATACTGCAGACTCCAAGTATCTAGCTTTTGATGGATACTTCATCTCGTTGTACTATTTGCACCTGACAACGTATCCACTAACTCTGAAAGATGAAGTAAAGAAGTCTGTCCCTCCTCGTTGGGATCCTGCATCATTAACTAGGTATCTTTTCAGTATTTTATGAATATAAATCGTTTTTTTTTAACATTAACAAAGCTCGTTCGGAATATATGCTAGACAGCATTTTGGATTGCTTGTGTTATGGAAGAAGAAGAAGAAGAATATACAATAAGGGAGAATAAAGAAGAGTGAAAGTAGGAGAATAGGAAAAGAGGGGGTGGGGGGTGGGGACAAAACTCTGGACGCATAGCCTGCAACAGAACTTAAAGATCGCAACTAAAACTCTAATTAGAAAGAGAATGGTATAGTCCTTTGTGAACTCCAATTTGAAAAATTTGAAAAATATTAAACCTAGTCCTAGAAAACATCAAACCATAACCATTAATCTTGAAATCTTGTGTTCTTCAAATTTCAAGCTTTTGTCTCCTGTTAATACTTCTATAGTGAAATCTGATCCTTTGCATCATTCTAGATTCTAGAATGGCCATTCGTAGGCATGTAATTGTTTTAAATCTCTAGTTTTATTAGATAAATCATGGACAAAGTTTTTTCCTAGACAGAAATTTGGATAGATAATCTGGGATCTGAAGACTTTTGGTTATGCATTATTTAGGTTGATTTTTGGTTTAGCATTGTTAAGACAAAATGTCAAGGATGTGATAGACAAAAACTTTTTCAATAAAAAGGAATTTATTAAGGGAGGAAAAATGTACAAATGATACTTGGAATAAGAAATCCTTCAAGAAGTAAAAGAAAACGAAAAGGAACATAAGATAACAAAGCACTCCAATCCCACTGAATTTTAGAGTTTGTCATTTTTTGACACCCTTTTCTCATCTCTCTGCCAGCTACGAACCCTTAACTGATGGTCTGTGGTCAAATACAAACCAGCTAGCTATAATAAACGCTGGTTAATACGCTACACCACAAAGAAGCAAAAAATATGATCCTTGAAAATCTTGTCATTCTTCTTCATGACAAAATAATTGCACAAACAGCAGCATATATTTTCTAATTTTGCAGCCCTTCCCAACACAAAAAAGATCATTAACGTGTGCTCCATTCTATTGGGAATCACCCATGATTGACTATTGAAAACAAATAATTGTCTGCGACAAAATTCTAGGCTTCTAGACAATATAAGAAAATCTGACTTTCTGTCTCTCTCGTGAGTACATGCAATTTATATTGTGTTTATGTTGGCAATGAAAACTAATAATCTTTCCTGAAAGTAATTAAAGAAGAAAATATTCTGAAAGTATTTTATTATGTCTATCATACCATTTCCAAAATAGCTAATTTATATACTCACTATGTCCTAAAGTTTTAGTCCGTTTTGACTTTTCACATAGATTAAGAAAGAGCAATTAATTGGATGTCATGTCATCTACACATCACTTTTCAATATTACCCTTATATTATATTTTAGAATCAGATACTCGTAGGGATTGGGCTAATGGTGAGAGTTTTGATATATACCAACTAGTTGAATAAGGTTGAAGTCCTTTTAAGAAACTAAACCATTTTTTTTTCCCCTAAGAAATAGATAAGCAAGATAAAGATTACAATTAAGCTTAAAAATTTCATTAAATCTTTTTGAGATTTACCCCTTAAGTCTCATGAATTATATTTCAAGAACACAACAAATGAGGATTTTTGTTTAAATCGAAGTTAATGAGGGAGAAAGTAGCTGGGGTAAAACAATTAAAGTGGATTTTAATCAGGGTTATAACAGGAAAATAAAACAATCAGTACTTTGAACTTTTTTGTTGCGGATAACAATTTTGGGACATTACAAAATGGAAAGGTGGACAAACTCTTTGGGATGGAGGGTGTATCTTTTTCTCATCCAGCATATCTAAATAACCTTTTCTTTGCTTCTAGTTTTTTTAGCCACAATATGATATGTCTAAATAATTTTATTGATCTGATGCAATATAGACTCCCGCTTGATTTGCGGTTACTCTGGCACATGGATGCTTATTATTTTTAGGCAGGTTCATCCTTACATATGGCACACACATAATAATAGGGATGGCTGTCGGAGGTCAAGATTTAATTTGTGTTAGACAAACACCATCCTCACCTATTCCCCCTGCTGAGGTGAGAAAGCATTTGGAAGATCTTGGAGATTATCTATTTTCAGACAGAAGGAATCCACCCCTGCTACAAAGGAATACAAGAGATGGAAAAGAAGTATTTGTTCTTCTTCCTTTGCACACAAAAATTTGATTTCCTGACATCGTATATATTAGTTGCTGAATGTGATGGTTTGATATAGGTTCCCGAGGTCTTCAATCGTATTTTGCATTCAAACAGGATGCGGCTGACTAGCATTACAGAAACTTCAAGCAAGGATGTAAGTTGAACAAGATGTACTACGAATTTCCTGACTAACAACTGCAGTTTCTTTTCCTGAATCTCATTTTTAACTTGGACAGGGCCTCACCATCATTTGTTCGAAAAGAGGAGGAGATGTGTTCTCTAAGAGTCACTCCAATTGGCTCCAGACAGTGCCTGCTAAACCTGAAGCAATTCTATTCAAATTCGTACCTATTACATCTCTTCTTACTGGGATTCCGGGAAGTGGTTATCTTAGTCATGCAATCAACTTGTATCTGCGTTGTAAGTGCTCCTATGAGTAAACACTGCAGAAAAGGCAATTATAATCTTTGCTGTTACTAGCCTATGTATGAGAGCTTTGGCAGTCACATAAGTATCATTCAAAATGAAGCTGCTTTGAATTCCACTGATGTTCAAGCCAAAAAGACAAAGCTAGCATTGCAGAGATTATATTGTGATACCTTAATTGAATTTTATAATAAGGAGGACACGCCTTACCTAACTTGTGTCTACTGCATTGTTTTGCATGTGCTGTGAATACATCCGACATTCAGCAAATATATGGTGGGTGAATTGGTGGATGTCCATAAAACTTAAAATGACCCCAAATCTCAAATCTGTAAGATGAGATGCAGATTATCCAAGTCATGGTCTTTGAGTTGTTTTCCTGGTAATTAGACCAGTGGGATTAGAAATTAGAAAGAAGCTGAAGCTGTCTTTTTGTGGTAACCATGCACTTTCAGTTTTTTTTGTTTTGTTTTGTTTTTTTGTTTTTTTTTTTTTTTGGCTTTAAAAAAAAAAAACCAGGATTGAGCTACATAGCGTCACCCTCCCCTTCCCATAAGCCTTCTCATCTTTGGTTTAAGCAGGATTTGAATCAAGTTCACTTTGTGAAACACAGGTGACACAAGTGACTTACCAGTTAAACTAGCTAATATTCATTAATAAGTTTTGTTTGTGCAGCTATCGTGATGCATCTCCTTCACCCCTTCCTTTGTTTTCTTTTTATTCTTACTACTTTTTTTTTTTGTTCGTTTCATTATGCTGTGTCATATGATCTTGGCTATTTGGGTTTTTTAACTTCTTGATTTTGTAGCCTTTTCCTTGCAGTTTTTGGCTTATATATATGCTCATAAACTGAAACTGGTTTCTATTGGATTCATTATCTGTTTCCAGACAAGCCTTCGCCAGATGATTTACAATGCTTCTTGGAATTTCAAGTTCCAAAGCAATGGGCTCCTATGTTTTGTGATCTGCCTTTAAGGCATCAAAGAAAGAAAGCTTCTTACCCTTATTTACAGTTCAGCTGTTTGGGTCGTAAGATCTATGTTAGCCCTACCCAGGTACTGCATAAGGGTGAAAAAGGAGTATGCTTTATATATTAGTCTGTTTTGTAACCTCTGATTTCCCTTCACTATGTTTAATATGATTTCTCTTTTAATGTGTTAAGTAATTTAACGTTCACTAATGCATGGAGTTCAGTGTGACCTTAATATGGTGTTTGGTCTCTCCATCTAGTAACTTAAGTTCTTGGACTGGATGCTAGTTACTTTTATGTTTTGTTTTCTTCTTCTTGTTGTTGTCTTGCATTCAATCAAGACCTATTGTTGTGGTGTGTATGTCAGAAGGGGGATTGAGTGATCTGATATTAGAAACATGGGTTAAACTTCTTTACTATGTTGATCTCTCTCCTAAATTTTGGGATTTTTATATTTTTTTAATGCTAATAAAAGCATGAGGGATCAAAATGCTTAATTACTTTTTTTGAATAAAGTTTTGAATAATGTTTAGTTTGGAAAGTTTTACTTTTAAGCAAAAGAATTACATGCTCATTTTGCAAATTTAGGACTTGAGCAGCACAACTTATTAAAATCGTATTTAGGATTCATATCATTTGGTTTCTCAAATCTCATCCAAATATTTGCCATAGTTATTGTAGATGAAATTTGTTTGTATCAGTTTAGCATTTAAATTGGAGGCATCAATTATCATAATATAAATTTCTCAAGCTTTACATTTCAGGTTTCAAGTTTAGCAACATCTAATTGGAAATATCAATTACCACACTAAATTTCTCTATTTTACACATTTCAGGTTTCAAGTGATCAAAAACCTGTGGTTGGCCTACGTTTGTACTTAGAAGGGAAGAAGTGCAACCGATTGGCACTACATCTACAGCATCTCTCAAGCCTTCCGAACATCATGACCTTCCCATCAGCCGATCCCACCATGTGCATTCCATGTCAATGGCAAGGCTCTGATGATTATAAATCTAGCGACCAGTTCTTGGAACCAATTAGATGGAAGAGATACTCAAAGGTGTGCACATCTGTTGTTAAGCATGATCCCAGCTGGTTGCAGGGAGATTCAAGTGGAGTGTTTATTGTAACTGGTGCACAGCTCCTTTGCAAGGGGCGGTGGCCTAAGACGGTACTTCACCTCCGTCTTCTTTTTACGCACTTACCCAACTGTACCATTCGGAAGACAGCATGGGCTGCTGTGCCAGAAGCATCTCACAAATCAAGTTTTCTGACAAATCTGAGCACAACATTCACATTTACACAGCGAACAATAACTGGTCCAGAAAAGCAAGGTCCAGCTGCAATTAACTCTGGTGTGTATCCAGATGGTCCTCCTGTTCCGATCCGCTCTAGAAAACTGCTTAAATATGTGGATGTGGCTGAGGTAGTGAGGGGTCCACAAGATGCTCCTGGACATTGGCTGGTTACAGCTGCTAAGCTAGTCACAGATGGTGGTAAGATTGGTTTGCATGTGAAGTTTGCATTGTTGGACTATGGATTTCACTGTGCATAAAGCGGATTTTGTTTTAATTATTGGTTTTATCTAGTTTTCTCAATTCAAAAAGTTCTTTCGGAGCCGGTTGTTTTATGTGAGGGAGAGTTACGCCATAGTTTGTAAAGAGAGAAATACATAGAAATGGATGTATTTTCTAGACTGACTGTTCGTGCTGTATACATTTGGTTGTCTATATTAATGGAGCCTTCTGTCTTCTTCGTGGTTTTAGAAGATTTTTACTTCTAAGTAGCGTACTGATGAGGAAATATATATGCATGCTTGTGTCACTCCGTATCAGTTAGAGTAGACGAATGAACGTGGATTACACAGGATCATGTGTGTTTGGCTTTATTTATTTATTTGTTTATTACAAAGTAGAAGCTCGAATTCGAGATATTTTGAGCGGAAGACGACACTGGTGCTTGGCTGGTTAGTTGCTAAGATTAAACCAAAGCCAAAGCTATGGTTTGCAGCTGGTTGTCGAACAGCTCAAGCTTCACAAGGAGATGCTTTTATTCGTCAAATCAATAATAGGTAATCAGTTATCAACTTCCCTAGAAACGAATATTAATTGTTTCTAACTTATAATTGAAGAGGTAATTATTTGGTCCACGATCAACGGACAATGAAGGGCTGATCCCGAAAGATAAAAGGAATGCATGAAGAAGAGAGGAAGCAGCTGGATGGAGGGCATGGTCAAATCAATCATGAACATTCATTATGCCTCAAGCGATGGACTTTTTCCTCCAAAATTTGGTCCCACTCTCGTCCCATTTCTCATGCCTCAAGGGAGGACAATGAGGAATGGAATGTTTATTTTTTTGGTGCTAAAAGCATTATAAAGTAGAGAAAATATTAAAATGAATATAAAAATTAAACAAAAACATCCAAAAAATGGGAAAGAAGCAAACCAGAATAATCAACTAAGCTAACTAGGAAATTAAGTTAATGCTAAATTTTAAACCCTAAAATGATTGTGGTTATCCCCACCGCATACACCACCAAAACTTGAGTCTCTCAACCACCGCAATCATTACTAAGGCTCAATCTCAACAATAACCACTAAACGGCAATGGTAGCTCTGAAATTGGATTGTTCGATCAACAGTTAGCAATCAGGATTAATCAGTTAGGACAGAGCATTTTCTAGAAATTAACCAACAAACTTCACTTTGCTCCGGCTGGTTTGATTATCACTCATCAAAATATAGGCAAAGTATTTAATTATGAGCAATAAAAAGGAAAAGCCATATCCTTTTCGGCAAAAAATCCACACACAATGGTGTAGACCTTTTGATCAGAATAGGGTTTGGGAATTAAGCAAGCAAGCAAGAAGATAAAGAGTAAAGTCGATCACTTTCTATCACATGCCTATATATATATTTGCAGATAATCTATTGATGAATACATAACAGACATGATTGTGCATGGTAGCCTCTTTAATTTAACATCTTCTCTCGATCTTATTTTCTTGTTTTCTTCCCTCCAACATGTGATGATCAGTAAAATGTTCTAAACCGTTGGACCACTTTACTTAATTTGGCAGTTTGCTTTTCAAGAACTAATCTCCTAGATGGAGTTAGATCTATTAATCATGTCACACGCTAATGTGGTCCACTGTCATCTCATCTTTACCTTCACCCATCGCTTCAAGCCAAGGATCTATATACAGTGTCAAAGCTTAGAGCATGCATCCATGCACGCAATGGAGAGGGAATTATTAATTGATTACCACTAAAAAGCAGTTTTTGATTAATTGAGAGCAACTTGCCTTTAAGAATCTCGAGGCTATGCACCCGAATGAAGCAATGATCAATGTATAAATAAAGAAAGAAAAACAAAAGAAAAGGAAAAGAAAAGAAGAAACAAAAAGAAGCTTTTTGTGCACAATGCTTGTACTTCTATTCTAATCAATAATCGGATGGAGAGAGATTTTCAATTTTCCTGATTGGATATTACAATCTAGCATACCAGGCCAACAAAATATCACTAGTTAAAATATAGGGTAACATGCATGAATTATACAAGCACTGCTAGAAGCTAGCTCGAAGGCCAACGTTTTTGGATTTCAAAGGAGTAACTGACATCCAAATAGCATTTCCCATCATCATCTACAATCTGAAACCAAAAATCATCAATCAAAATCTTTAATTTTTGTAGCCATATATATATATGTGTGTGTATAATCAATCCACTTATATATTATTACCTTGGTTCTAGCAGAATAAGATCCCCTGGCAAAAATGCCTGAAGGGGTGGTTTCTTCCTCCAGTTCATATATGTAGGGCTCTTGTTGTGGGCTAAAAGTACCAAGCATCACCTTTGTATTGGCCACTGCTTGCCAGAAAAAGTAAATGAGACTAACTGAAGGAAAATATGTGTGTTTGTGAGTGTCTATGGTTGCTTAATTTACCTCTCAAACCTGTCTTCCAGACAATATTGGTGTACTTAAGGCCAGACACAATGTTGTTGGAGACAGTGAAGCATAACTTGAGGTGGTACAGGCTTCCTTCCTTGAGGGCGAAGAGACTTCTGCTCTTTGAATTACTAGATAATGGAAATGGCAACACAAGATCTTGCCGCCCCGGACATAAGATAGAGAGGCTTAGTATCTTCACTTCCGGTTCTTTGCTTTCTGATCAAATTCAGCAAGAGAAAAAAAGGCTTTTGTTTACATTTCAAGCTTAGGAGTTCTGGTACACACTGCACTATTTCCTCTTTCTTCTGTTGTTTTGAAAGTCATGTCTACTAACTTTTGCGATAGGGCTGCAGGTCTAAATCACTAGAAAAGGACTATGATATATAAAGAAATTAAGGACCTCAAAGTATACATGGGTTTCAATTAGAAATATAAATATGGGTTCCCATCAAATTCGTAGGTCATGGCAGATAAAGAGTGCCCTTAAAATTACAATTTGGTTTCCTTTTTTCTACATATCTAAAATTGATGTTGTTGCATTATACATACCAAAAGACAGAAATTGATTAAAAAGGCTAAAACTAATTAATACCTCCAACAGAAGACATATCAACACTCCCAAGTAGCTGTTCCTTCCATCTCCTTAAGCTGTCATCATCCTGTAGAGAAATTGTTGTTATATGTGATAATCTTAGCTAGAGATATCTATTTTCAAGTCCTACTAGTAGCCTTTAGTCCAAACTTTTTTGAAGAAAGATATCATGCCTTATCTTTTTCAAGCTGCTCCTTCAGGGAAACTTGAGGTCCAAGATCCAATTCTTTATCAAACTGGAGATTGGAATCATCTTCTTCAATATCATCAACAACATCATCTTCTTCATGGTTATCAGCAACATGGTCCTTCTCTGCTTCAACAGCTGCAGCAACCTTGATGTTTTTGTCATTCAGTCCTACAAAATTCTCCATCTCGTTACTGAAAGAAATTTCTTTGGATGCTGACGAGGAAGTCCTTACAGCAGCTGACATTTTTTTTCTTATCCACCGAACTTTACCCCCTAAACTATAAAGAGGAAAAAATATAGGTGCCTATCTAAATAATTAACTAAATCTGGATGTTTTCTTTTATCTACATCAGGAAGGTATAAAATGGAGGTTGGGATGGGATATATGGCTTGTTTAACGTTGGGATTTTGGAGGATGTGAAGTGGTGTTGACACATGACAAGAGACCTGAACGGCAATGGCTAAGGCAAGGCCGTTGGAGAATGGAAAGGATGAATGGATGGATGGGATATATAAAGCTGAAAGAGAAACCACTAAAGTTGAGGCAGGTGGGGTAAAGTTAGCCAGCAACTCCCATCTTCTCCAATCTTCTTCGCTGTTTCCTCTTCTTTTTTTTTTTTTTTTTATGTAGAGTTATATTTCACACAAATTTCTCAATTTATTTTAGCATTTGTGATGGTTGGTGGTTGTGGACGATCTCTAACCTGCCATGTTTTCCACGTATTCACTATCATCTATTTCACATAATCATGGCTTCTTGAAAATCTCTTCTTCCATCAAAATCCAAGCTCGAATTATGAGTTTATATTAATTATTCTTTTAAAGTTTTTTACGAACAAAGATTCTTTAATCATATCTAAGGTATCATTTTGCTTGCACTTTAAAATACTCATTTGTCTATTTGCATCATGTGTTAACACCAATTTTCCAAACTGGGGGCCTCTTTTATGTGTAATTTGTTGTTAGTGTGTTGCAGATCAGTAAGACTTTTATTATTTGAAAATAATATGAAAAAAAAACTCAAGTTTATTCCTTTTAGCTCTCATGGCAATTGACAAATTTTATGTGTTATTAGGGCTTGAGTTTCAATGGTAAGAAGAAGAAAAAAATAAGAATTAATAATTGGGGATCAAACCAAAGAAAGGAAAATCAAAGCCCCAAACCAACCAGGAGAAAGCATGGTGCACCCGGTGGTTGGTGACCTTTCTTTCATAATTACGAAACCGCATATTCTAAGATGGACTAATTAAATTGCTTCGTTCTTTCTTTTTTTTTTCGTTTTATTAAATGCTATATATATATATCTTAAGGTCTTCTAAAAGAGTAATGCTAATAGAAAACTTCAAAAATACACACGAATCATTAAATTAATGAAAAAGATCATTCAGTCCCAGATTAAGATCACAAACAAATGGCTTACAATCATCCTTGAGGCTTTTTTTTTTTTTTTTGGTTATTTAGCATTTATTTATTTATTAGAGTAAAAATTAGGAAATAGTACATATGCTTAAACTTGTCATTTAACTCGACATTTATTCTTACAATGGTAAGACTATTTTTTTTTTTCAATTAAGTAGGGTGAACATGATAGAAAAAGAAAAAGAAAATGTTTTAAGATCAGAGAGGGACGAATTGTATGATGACCTTGCACATTATTGTAATTGAATTGCTGCTATTAATAAATAAAAAAAACAAGGTGCATGAAAATACAGTCCAAGAAGCAGCAATATATCCTTGGACAATATACGGCAGGTTACCCTTACCTTACAGCAACTAGTGCTGTGTCCTCTCCCAAGGACCTTATGACCCTATGGTGAAGCCTTACTAAAGCCAAGGCTCACTGTTGTCAAAGATGAGAAGTGCCGGGTTACTAAGTAACCATAAGAGAAGCTTTTACTGAGGTTGTGGGCGTGTCTGCACGATGAAGATATCTTCTCCAACCACACATCCTTCCACATCCTGTGGGCAGCCAAACTTTCTTTCGAGGAAAAGGCCAACTGAACTGAGACGCTGACCCAGCTGGTGACGGAATATTGGATCGACTGTTAATGGTTTCTTGCTGTAGACTACAGTAGAACGGATTACGTTGCCATCAGCAGGACCTGCACCAGATACCAGCATCTCCTCACTGAAATTTGCAAATGCCAGTGTTCTTACAAGCCCATCAAACTTCCCACATGAAAGACGCCATGGGGTGCCCCTGGTGCCAGAAGCTAGGGTCTCACCTAGCCCAGGAGCAATCTCTGCTTCAACAAAGTTCTGGTCATGGTCAGTTGGGCTGAGAGTGTGGAGCACAAATGAGAGGTCAGGCGAAAGCATTTCTTGCACCAGAACTGCCATTGCAGCATTTTTCTGAGGCACGCCAGCAGCTCGACGACTTAGAACTGCTCTCCGTGTGTACAGTGAAGCCCATACTCGGCTAACAGCATTTGCAAAAACAGTTGGATTTGATGGGCTAACATTAGGAATTGATTCATAGAGTCCAGCAGCCGACATTCCAGCCAAGTCCTCAACATTGGCACTTGAACGTACAATCAGACTTGCATTGTCTGGAAACATTTGACCTATTCCATCAATGATGTCATTTGGGAGCTGCAGGGAAGAGATCAGTTCCTGGAGTTTAAAGCATAGTTTGTCAAGTTCGCCCCCATCCAGTCGAGCTGTTTCTATCTGTTCTAGATATGACATGAATGTTTCCATAGATTTGCTATGCTCTAGTGCCAATTCCATAGAACCGAAAGGTATAATTACGCCCTTAGGAACTTGAAATGAAGCTGGCACCGCCTGGTCACTGGAAACTGTCATTTAAAAAGCAAATCCACAAGAAGGCAGCCTCAATAAAGCATCCATGCAAAACTTCGATAGAACATGTAGTAAAGCTGATTTAGTTCCTCTAATTCACGAACTTCCAATTTTGAATCTATGTGTACTCTTCAATGCTGCTCATTTATAATCAAAAAGTCAATATTGTGTACAAGTATCACATGTATTTTTTGGTTGATCCAGTTGATGCAGAAGCAGTCAAAAAACATTTTAGGACTGTTTATTTCAGGAAGAAACAAAGAACAAATGATGGTTATTCAATTTTCTTAAGTTTTTTATTGTATTTTTTGTACTGAGGGAGGGAACTTCAATTCCTATTAGAATGATTCCTAGTGCCATTCAGTTTGACTCTATAGTAATATTGTTGTTAACCCCAATGAAAGACTCAACTTCCCTAGGCGATTTATGACATTGTAAGATCCCAATGCCTAATGCAGTTATAAAAAACACAAGCAAATGTGATGGTTAATAATGAGAATAAAGAAGGCAATGTGATCAACATATTAAAATCGATATGGAAGGATGAACTTAAAAGTACAACCCTTCAAAGAAACTTAGCAAAAGGAAAAACATAGATTTCATTCATAAAAGGTAAAACATCTTAACAACCAACCCATATTACCACTTTTTGAAACTGCTGCCAAAGAAGCTAAACGACCACAAGCAGCAGCCTTTGCGCCTGATGTTTGTGCATCTGCATCTGCAAGTAGTATAAAACCTCCAGCAGAAACACCCTTGATAAAATTAAACCTTCATCAATTTTGATAAACCACACCTACTACAGTCACAGGGTTGTTGAAGAGTTACCATTATGTATGAGTAATAAATTACTGTACCTGATTGGAGTGAGCTTTAACAGCAGACCAGGAAGGATCATGAGGTACAGGAGGTTCAACTGTAGATGAACCATTGCCTGAAAGATCTTCTGCATTGATGTCGTCTGATGAAGAGAGAGTTAGATTAACGCCATTCAAGGAAGCTTCCAACCTGCAAACCACAAACATTGTAAACCAAGAAAAGAAAGGAAAAAGAAAAGGAGGAAAATCAAACACAACCAAATGCTGCATATTTGATTTTAATCATCAAATTAAAAAACATAATGAAAGACACAAGGATTGATTTCAGATCAGAGGAGTCCAGAAAAAATAACCTCACATATTTTCCAGTAAGCTTTTGCATATCTGCACATTTATCATCATCTTCGCATGTGACAAAGACAACCCTCTCCTGCAGAAAACCAATTTAATTAAAGTTCACCTTTATTTATACATATTTCAACAATCTGTAATGACTTGAGATATTTAAATTTAGAGAAGGAACTTGCTTGCCGAGCCCTAACACCAAGATGAGATAAGTGAGGCAGCTCTTGCAGAAGTACAACTCCCACTATGTTACTACCAGCAGCTGTTACCTGCAAGATATACTTGTTTAGTAACTGTGAAAGTTCATGTGTACTATGCTCCATATAACAAATGTTCAATGATGAACAAGACAAAAAATATAGCAAGATGAGAATCATTTAAACCTCTTCATCTCCATCAGCTTTGTTCACCACAAGAACAATAGGTCCTTCTATAGTCGATGGCAATGATCCAGGCACAATGCTCTCAACCTACATCACAGCAACTGAATGTCAATACTGACCAACGATTTTGTAAAAATGTAATGCATAAATGTGGATGTAGAAATTCAACATCAATGAGAGCATCTAATAGTAGAAGCTTATTGCAATTAAAGTGTTTGTCCAGGATCTGAGAGATCAAAGATGATTTCATGTGTTTCTTGGCAACCAGGACATTTACCAATTTCAAGACCACTGAGCATCCAAGAAAACCAAGGGCCATGGTAATTCCAACAGACCAACAAGCAAGGACAAACTAAAGTTTCTTTCTAAAGGATAAATAGAATACCACCGGTTCCAATTAGCCCCTACACTAAAGAACCCTTGCACAAACATAGAAGGGAGATGGCCTCAAAGGAATGGTTCTGGGAACACCGATATGAAAGCTGATCCAGTTAGCTTAGCAGCTGCAACATTTATTAGGCTGAGCTTTACTTAGTTGCCACATTCTAACAATTCTTCCTCCTGCCAAAAACTATTAAGTGCGGCAAAAACAAGTATTCCACCCTACTCAGTGAAACCCAATTTTTTAAACAAACAATCAGTTCCTCATCTCCATGTGAATGTTAAGAAAAGGATAAATTACAATAACCCCTTTAAAGTATCATAAAACTACAGACACTATCCAAATGTTCAGAGATTTAACAAAACCCTTCACATTGAAGAAATTACTACAAAAATTCCTTCATATCCAAAATGCTCCCATGTATAGCCAAAATGTAATTATTAAATTTAACACTAATCTCATTTATGCATTGGGTATTTAAATATTTTGGTTATTATTATCACTACAATATTAATAAACGTTTTTTTCTTAAAAAAAATGATCCATGAGAGCAACATTTTGGTTTTCTTTTCTTTCTTTCAAACCAAATAATTTATTAATATTATAATGAATATACAATGTTGCTAATAAAAAATCCATTGGCTCATCAAATATGTGTGCATCAATATAAGAAAAAAAAATACATTAGGTAATTACTTGAAAAAAAATACACTATGTAATTAAAATGCATGAAGTACGTGATTTTGATTTGGATTTAAAATGGTTATCAAACAAATCCATAAAATATTACTTTAATGCATGAATTGATTTTTAAAAAGTATCTTGTTTAGGAAAATACTAGAATGTTACCTTAATGGTCATTTGCTTTTCTTTCAAACCATGTTTTTGTTAAAACATTGAAATTATTATCAACACATTTAAAATAGATGGCATATTCATGATACAAAGTGTACCAATTGTATAAACAAGTCGAACACATTAGGAAGTTTTGGGCATAATGTGAGCATTTTAGATATAAACGAGGTTTGTAGTATTTTCTTAAAAGTACAGTAGTTTCTATCAAGCTTCCAAACTTTTGAGTAATGCCTATAGTTTCATGATATCCCGAGTTACAGTAATTTACCCTTATGAAAATGACTTGTGGTCGACCTAAAATTTAGGCATGCCACATATATATATTTGAAAATAAGGCCTTAGAACCTACAACAAGACAATATTCAACTGGTTTGAGTTGACAATACGGATCCTTTTGGGTTATTAGGCTCGTTCATAAACCAAACCCACCACAATATCAAGAGATTTTAGATTCTTTGATACTGCGTCCATCCATGTTATCTTAGGTTTTCTTCTACCCCTTTTCCTTCTGTCCATTGTCAACTTATTACTTCTCTGAATGAAGGTCTCTAGTGGCCTATGTTGGACATGGCCAACCCATCGTAGTCACATCTTTCATTCAATTTCCAATGTGTTATATGGACCTTTTAGACTCATTCATAATCTTATCCATACTTGTGTAACCATGCCACATTCATCATAAGTGAATGTTGTTATTTTATAACTTTGATGCCCTTCCAATTAAAATAAATTGAACCTATAACTGATCGAGGATACCTGTACTAATGTGCCAATAGCAACTCCAGGAACAAGAATATCCCAACCATCAGAACCAAGGGTACTTCTAGCTGCTTTCAAAAGCAAGGTACAAAGTTTTGAAACCTGGAAAATTACCCTACACATGAAATTTGCCTGTTAGAAAGTTACAGTATTTATATAATCAGTAAGATAATCAAATGATTTTAAAATCAATAGCACAGAGTATCGGCATAGGTGGTGTAGGCCTATCAAGAAGATCGCATTCTTTATGATTAGAAAAACTGTGTACATACCCAGCACGAATCTCAGCTTCAGTATACGTCCTTATACTGTTTTCAGGAATTCCAAGTGCTTTTCCTAGTATCTGCAAGGTCCAGGGTACAATTTTAATCACAATTCAGAGTCTATTTATAACTCTAATGCATTTCCAGTCGTTCACCGATAACAGCCACCAAATTATTTATTAGCCCCATAAAGCTATGACGTGTTAAGAATGTTTTCAGCAAATCTAGCTCTGCAAATTGTCCAAACAGTCCATGAGCCAAAGCATGCAAGAAAAAATCTACACCCCTTTATGTTCGCTCTTATTTTACTTTGTAATGTGTCAAGTAATCCATCCACCTTCTAAATAACTTACAAGGCCTTACAAAGTACAAATTCTCAGAGTATAAGTCAATATGTTTTCCAACAAGGGTAATTTTGAAAATGTTTATTTAAGTCAAACTAATACCTGATATTTTATCAGATATTTGAAAAAAAAAATGGAATAGTAAAATGGGATGGAGAGAGTAATATAAGTACTAATGCAACAAAAAACCAGATTTATCAATCAGCAGATACAAATGTGGCTCTAACAAGAAAAGAAGAGAAGAATAAATCTTATACCTGCACTTTTTGTGGAAATATTTGAAGAAGAGCTTCAGAATATTCCTCGGTGAGCCTTCTAGCTCTATCAAGAGTAGCTTTGAGCCTTAGTGCCCAAATTACCTTGCCATCTTCGCTTCCTTCATAGTAATAGACAGAACAAGAAAATGAAGTTAACTGTAGCACATTCACTAGACATGTAAATGTTTCCAGCACTAAAGGAAGCAAAATGACAAGTACCTTCCTTTTCAAAGAGACCTTTCTCTTGCCAGGCGAGGAGCTCGGTTCCAATAGCTGCACATTCTTCTGGTTTCCAACCAGATAAACCAAGCTGATGAACACCAACAATCAGGGCACCAAGTGAGTCATTCCAAGAGCTTATATTCTTTGACTCCACATTGTCTGCAAGCCATTTAGCCCCTCCCATAGCTTCAAGTGCATTGAGAAACCTGCTTGGACAAATAAAATCCAACCCATGCACGAAATCCAAAGACAGAGAATAAATCAAATCTTGATAAAAGCTAAATCAACAGAAAAATAGAAGAAAATCAAGTATATATATTCATCAGAAAATTAGGTCATTAGAACAATAGTATTTTTGTCATTGCCTCAACCAGTGTTTTTCTTCTGCAGCTGAGAGTATGACATGCATGAGTATAATAAATTTTAAACTAGCTCTTTTTACCAATATGGCATCATGATACCACATCAGAAATTATTATGGTCTTGCTGATCCCAGGCATGATGCACAAATAGCTATTTGCTTGTGTCATTGGTGTCATCCTGCCACATCAGAAAATATTCTGGCCATGCTTGGTCTCCCAAGGCATAACAGACTTATTTTCTGCAGATTCTTCAAGGCAATTTGATATCGATTATGGAATCTTTTTCGGCAGTCCCAAATGGTGTGAAATACAAGTTAATGGTCTGAGTTTGCAAGCGTCAAACAGGACAATGGTTTTAGAATAAGCAATTTATTAAATATTCGAGTTATGTGTGAGGAAATTTTGATAAAACGATTTCTAGCATCATGTCCAGGAACAAGCAAAAAAGTATCTTAAGTAAACAAAGACAAAGTCTCACATACCTGCTCAGAAGAACAAACGAATAGTCCTCAAGACCAATCTCACACAGACGCCACTGTAAAGAGCCCCAACCATCCCCACACACACATAGGAGACAAGAAATTAAGAAGGGATCATCAAAAGCAGAACCATCAAAATCCAGCTACAGTTGCTAATTTGAAGCTCTTCGTAAATGATCATTAAGCATAATCTCACCTTTTGACGCATAGCTATTGCAGCATCAGGAGCATCATTCCTAAGACCACTTCCAAGACCATTTACAATGATCTCTCTCAGGGCATTTAGGGATCGCATGGTTTTGATCAGTTCAAAAATATTGTGTGATTCTTCTGAAGTATCCAAATTCTGAAAATGCAAATACATATCTCAGCAACTTTTGTGCAAAAGGTTAAATTTAGAATTAAATCTAGAAGTGCCTTAAACTGTCGCATGACTAAGCACCAAGGTTAAATTTACAGAACTACAAAAAAATTCACCATCAGAGACATGCATTCAGTGAATGTAGTATGTAGCATGACTGTGACTATAAACAATCAATGAATGTAGAAACTGCAGGCATAAAGCCAATGAGACAGATAAGGTCATTATTAAAATGTGCTTGGTATCATGGGGCAGCTCTATACAACCCATGATTATAAAGAAGAAACAAAATTGCAAGGAGGATTATTTACCTTTTTGCAATCCAAAAATAATGTCATAGTTGAAGTGCCCCTTTCATCCAAAGATTCTCTAATTGATACAAGTTGTTCAGCAAGACTGCACAGCCCAAAATTTAAAAAGCATTTTGAATCAACAAAAATAAAAACTAGTTGAGAAGGTGATCAATTTAGAAACAAGTAGATGCTTCAAATTGAATTGACTAAAACTGAGAAAAAAGATAAAAATTTTCTTTTCCGATTTAAGTTTTTTAATATGTATATTATAAAGCAGAACGAGGAACCACCACATCCGCACAATGCACTTTCTTTAAGCAAGAAACTGTAAGAACATGAGAAAGGCATTCAACCTATAGTGATCCACTGATTCAATAGTTGAAGTTCTAAAGAAATCTCAGAGAACATTCAAAGCACAATTGGTTTGTCATACTGAAAAGAAGTTCTCTTCATACCACATTCTATAAAATTGATCTATAATAAATAATATGAATATAAACATGATGATAGGCAGCAAATAACAAGGTTATTTCTCCCTTATTTCCTATTCTTGATAGGTAGCTTAGAATCTAGGACATATCAACAATTTTAGGATGATCAAAGGTTTGAGATGTCATAAACCAGACCTTCCTGCATTGAAGAAATCTTTGAGTTCATGATGGAATATTTTGAATTGTTCCACAAATGCTTCATTATATTCCCCAGGGTTCTTCGTGATTCTTGCAAGCATTGCCTCAGTAGCAATTAAATCTTCTGGGCCAGCATTGCGATGAAGTTTGTTTTGTATTGTATGTTTGATTTCTTGCTGGATGTTGAAAAAAAAAAACGACATCAGTTATCCAACCAGAGCAAAGACTACTTACCAACTGCTCTGCGATGTATATAACCTTAAGGTCATGAGGAATGTCGCCCCGATGAGCAATATCTCTAATCCGAGTAAGAGGAACAGATGCTGTGAATTCTGCCTTAAAAGATGGCAAACAGGGATGGATCTTTCGAATAACAAGCACTTCCTGAACATCAAATTCAAAACTTGTAACCAAATCGAAGTAAAAACCTTTTTGACAGGTCAAATAGGATTCACTTTACACTGCAAAAAACCAGTATCATCTAAGATGAAAGTGCAGGGAAAAAAAAAACAATACTCCACCAAAGACCATTAATATATAAGATGAAAGTGCTGATAAAGTTTACATTTGCTATTAAAAGATTTCAATGGTCATGCTATCATAGAGTATAAGAAATGAGACAACACACAGGTTCAAGCATAAGCCAGTTTGCAGTAGCCCCACCTGTCCTCCCTTCCACCCTCTCCTCCCCATATAGTTGGCTGAACACTTTGTGTTGTCTTCAGTTAAGCAAAATTACCAGAGCTAGCAACAGAAATATACATCATTAACTTACTCAGACATTAGGGTCATTAACTTCAACTATCTATGTCACTGTGAATCCCCATTGTAAGAAATGACATATATGATGGCATCGGAAACATAAAACAGAACAGCAGGTCATTGACATTGTAAAAACAGAGATATTTGCTCAATCCTCTAAGTTAGTAGATTGTGAGAGCTAGACAAACCAATGCAGTGTGATCAAAACCACTATGGATACCAATTCAGGACTGCCAATAAAGGATTTCAGAACTTCTAAATTTAGATTGAAATACAATTTATTTGCCTGGCACACCTCCGTTTTCCACTTAGATTTGGGTTAAGGTTTTGTTTTTATATTCCTATAGAGGTTTAGATTTCCGAGTTTGTAACTGCTCCAATGCCAATATGAAGTGCCATTTTCAGATATTTGAAAACAGGTTTTATCAATTGATTAATTAAAGTTGAGTTTCAGAATAAGATTCTCTTTTCATTTGTTTCTTCTTTGCTTGGTTCTGCATTAGTCGTCTCAAAGGGATAAAACAAATTTTGCTTTGTTGTTGATATTTAACTTTACTTTTACACTAAACAAAATGCAATGCTTATGAGGTAAGGAAATAAAAGATAAAATACCGTCAGATTTTGATACATCCCAACCATGTTAAAAGAAATGATAAACCACCTGGGGTGAAGTATCTTTGCTACAAGAGATTCGTTCTAATTCCCGAAATATAAGCCTGGAAATTTCAGCATGCCGATTTGGCCGGTGATGACCTCCATCTTCAAAGCAAGGAATTTGCCCTGTGTTTATCCACTGCATAAGAGAAAGAGCTAAGAATAGCATAAAAGGAAACAAACTGCCAGAGAGTAAAAGATTCTAAAGTTACAAAGAAAGTACCTTCAAATAGATAGCAGAGTATATGAGAGCCTCCAACCGGTCCTTACTCTGAAGACTTCCAACTAGTAGCTCACGTACAACCTCAAGCTGTTAATGAAATCAATATGGTGTTAATAGAATAAAGGAGTCCTCGACTTAGTTCATAAATTACAGCCTTATACAATGAAATAATTGTTTCTATATTATATACATTCACATGTAAAATGAGCATTAAGTAGCCATGAATCTGTGTTAACTAGAAGGATTCAGAAGATGACAAAAAGATTTAAGCGAGCAAGCCATGGAAGACAATACTAATTACACATTGAACATCCAATGTCAATATGCCCCTGTCAAGGGGGATGTAGGATGAGTTGTCACTATCCTGCCATTTCACTTGCTGCAGCAATCTAAAGCAAGTGCAAGAAGCATGAGTCAAAGACCACAGGGTCCATTGTTAGAATAATTATCTGCCTTCTCCTATTGTTCGGATTTTGATCATGAAAATTAACAATACAATGCTTAAAACTTGTATGGGATTATCTATATCATGGGTGCATAATTGCACTAAAACCAACCACTCAGTCCGACACATTGATGCAGAACAACTTTAAGGGAAGTTCCTAGTTAATTGTTTTAAGACAAGAGTTGCAGAATATGGTGAATTAGGGACTTAAAGATTGAAAACAGATAGGAAAGTATGAGAAAATCGAATGAAAACAGAATAAAAACTACCAGCCTCACGCTAGTAGATTCAAGGAATCACTCCTTTAATAACAAGCTAAGCATCACTCCTGGGGTATAAGGAATCACCAAATAAAGCATCACACCTAACATAATAAGCAAAAGAGCTGCACTATTCTCTGCTGGAATTGAAAAACTACAAAGCTTATTTGTAATGCTGGAGTTATTTGCTAAGCATCCTAATGGCAATTAGATTTTCATAATAAGCAAAAGAGCTGCACTATTCTCTGATGGAATTGAAAAACTACAAAGCTTATTTGCAATGCTGGAGTTATTTGCTAAGCATCCTACTGGCACTTAGATTTTCTAATTAAATATAGATCTGATGAGAAATATAAAAACTAGACTCTACTACTGAAATTCCCAGCAATCTGTATAATTGCAAAATCTGAAATTCCCAGAAATCTGTATAATTGCAAAATTTCCCTTGACGCTAATAACTTGGATGCAGCCACTTCTGGAACTCAAAACAGCCTGGAAAACTTAAACCAACTCCCACAAAGAATCATATAAGCTTTAATCGCATAGAATTAAAGCTTGGGGCTTGAACATTTGTCTCCTTCTATTCATTGCTTAAATATTTGTCCAAAGTCAAAGCTAACTCCCTGCGCTGAATGATACATCATATGCTAACATTCCTATTCTAAATAGCATGGAAGGTATGTCTAGATGGAATTTTGCATTCAGAATACCATTAACACACTTCACTAGAACAACCTATATTATTTGTACGATATCCAGCATACTACCAAGTCACCAACAGATAGAGGAGATTTATTTGTGCACTCATGATGTTTTCTTACTCACGGCCGGACATGGCAAACATTCCTAAATATGTATTCTGTTTTCTCCATCTCCATCTCCATCTGTGTCTAGCTTTGTTATAATCTCCAGAATTTCTTTCTATACTCAGACAGTTAGATTATAGGTACATAATATTTTATCACAAATCTCTTCCTCAAACCTATTTTATACTCTAGCTATTCTATCAAACGAAAAGTTATCAGTAATAAAAACAGTTCAATTCCTCATACACTTGGGATTTTTCCACGAAGCCATTCTGCAACACCAATTGATGCAAGACCAGCGAGGCACTAATCACATAATTAGTCAACTATGACATTTGCCAATAATACATATGCTGGCATGCTAATCTTATATACAGGTACAGAAAGCTAAAAAAGATATATAAACACCCAATAACAAATAAAAAAACAATTTGAATTCTGTATTTATCGTTGATAAAAATATTGGTTTGGATAGTTGTAGAAAAATTTCCATAAAATCCAAAAAGTCACAGCACACAGATTTTAACATCAATACCTTTCTCCACCAATTCCTTGCATGCAAATCACCTTCAACTAACTTTAACACCGAGCCCTCAAGACCTGAAGTATCCCATTTTCTTTCACTTTCCCTATTCCGATGCTCATTCGATCGCATGAAAGAAACAGTCTTCCCTTGCCATTGCCCAACAAAAGGACTTGTCTCCGCCTCCAAAGGGATAGCAGCACTAGCAGAACTATCCTCATCAACATCCTCCACTTCCTCTCCCTTCTGCTCTAAATCCAAAGGCAACAAATTGACAGCCTCCCCGGTCGCACCCCATCGACAAACAACCGCAAAACCCCCTCCTCTGGGCAGTTTTAACGCCCGGTTGTCCCCACTTTCCCACACCAAACTCTTGTCATTTCTCACAATAACAAACTTAAACTCAACAACCTCACCCCCTTTCAACTCCAAATCACAAACCCATCCATTCTCCGTCCAATTCATTTGAACCTTCTTCTTCCATGAACCCATTTCTTTACTTGACCCCAAAATCACAACATGCTCACCAAATTCAACTTGGTGATCCAGCCTCACGCTCAGCCTCACCTTTCCACTTTGCGACCTCGATTTGCTTTTCTTCATTGCCTTCTCTTCTTCTCTGCCAGATGCAAACCACTTAGAACAAGAAAAAGAATAAAATAATAGAATAGAATTATCTCGGCAACCAAACCAAAGCCAAAGAAAGATACCTGGTTTGAGTAGAGGAAATACCACAAATGATTCTTCTGCGAATTGGAATCGAAATCCTTGGATTGAACAATGTCGGTGGTTGAGCAAGTTTATTATTAGTAGTGTGGAGGAATTGGAATTGGTTTCTTGGAGGAAGATAGATTGAATTTGACCGAAGCAATAGACGCAGGGAATCCATTTCTCAGTTGCTGCTTTTCTTCTCTTCTTTGAAATGAAGATGAATCACTACTTACTTATGGTTCAAAAAAGGAATTTGAATTACGGAATCTTGTTAGTGAGAGTGGGATGAGAAAATCTAGCTTTGTGTAAAGCTGAAGGCTTCGATCATCTCCATTCCCAACGCGTCCCACGTGCTTCACTCATCATTTCCCAAGAAGATTGCTGGCTTCGTTTCAATCATTGCCAAGATATTTTTCTTAATACTATTTTTTTTTTCCTTGAACCACGGCATTGTATCTACTTATTCTTTATTCATTATATATCTAAAACAGGGGAGTTCACTGTTTAAACAGTGAACTCCTCATTTTACCCTTCTCCCTTCAACTGTTCATTTGGACGTTTTTCGTCTTCATTTTTAATTTCCACTCTTACTTATTTTTTTATTTTTAAAAAAATTGTTAAATTTTTTCTTTTTTTTTTTAATTTTCACCTTCAGTTTTTTTTCCTTAGATTTTTTTTTTTAATTTTTGAATTATTTCATTCTGATCCCTAAAAAATTAAAATAAAAATTTTATATGTCACTTTTTTTCCTCATTAATTTATGTTTTTTTATTTGATTAAGTGTTAAAAAATTTTAAAATTGATCGTTATTTTTTTCAACAGATTGATAATTTACTTTACCCTCACATTATACTATTCAATCTTAATTCTTTTTTCTTTTTTTAAAAAACAATTCACTCGTTACTTTTTTCTTATTTTTTTGGTTTTTTTTTAACTTTTATTCTTATTGTTTAAAATTTATTTCTTCAATTATTTTGAGTGTTAAAATTTTTAAAAATCGATGGTTATTTTTTTAAACGAGTCGATGATTTAGTTTACTCTCGTACTATACTACTCAATCTTAGTTTTTTTTTCCTTTTTTTTAAAAAAATTCATTATCGCTTTTTTCTTATTTTCTTAGTTTTTTTTTTTAACTTTTACTCTTATTGTTTAAAATTTATTTCTTTAATTATTTGTTTCTTATTAAAAATCTAATCAAATTAATTTTTTGATATAATTTTATTCATTAATAAAATTTTAAAATGTCGTGTTTTTTATATATATTATTATAATTTATGCAATAAATTATTTTTATGTTTTTTAAATGTGTGTTTAATTTTTTAAAATATATTATTATAATTAGTATCAACAAGTGAACCATCATGGGGGTACTGTTCATTTGAATAGTTTTTTTTTTCCTTGAGTTTTTTCCCCTTTTTTTTTAATTTTTACTCTTACTTATTTTCTTATTTTTTAATTTTTTTTAAAAAAATTTAATTATTTTTTTCCTTTTAATTCATCCTTAGTTTTTTTCCTTAGCATTTTTTTTTAAAAAAAATTCAGATTATTTCATTTCGATCCCTAAAATTTTTTTAAACAAAATTTTAATCCCTAAGTGATGCACTATACATCTTTTTTTTCTTTGGTTTTTTTTCCTCATTGATTTATGTTTTTTTTATTTTATTGAGTGTTAAAATTTTTAAAAATGTATCTTTTTTTTTTCAAACAAGCTAATAATTTACTTTATCCTCACACTATACTACTCAATCTTAGTTTTTTTTTCTTTTTTCTTTAAATTTTCACTATTACTTTTTTCTTATTTTCTTAGTTTATATATATCAAGAGATTTCGCTCAATATATAGATTCAATTTACATTAATCATCGAAAATAAAACTTTTACTCATAATATACCATGCGAATCGTTAAGGCTATATATATATATATATAACGGGTGTCCGACCATAACATAGCATGGGTACCCATCTAGTTCTACTAAAAAAAAAATTATATCTTTTAATTACATCATCACGTTGGAGAAAAAATACATAAACCAATTTTTTTATTAATTATATTAATACAGATTGACTTTGTTTTCATCAAAATTTCACTAGACATAATAAAAAAAATAAAAAAAATTAGTTCTTGTTATCAATATTTATCCCCTCCATGTATGCGTGTTAATATAATTAACAAAAAAAAATAATTTATTCTTTTCAATATAAAAAATTCTAATATGATTGAAAAATATAAAATTTATGTTTTTTTTTTGTACAATAAGCCTATTATATTTTGCAGAGAAAAATAGACATATTTGGAGGATAACGTCCTTCTTGTATTTATAAGGAACTTATATATGAATATGGAATGATGTGTTGTATGTTAATAAAGAATGAAATTGTGGGAATGAGAATGTAAGTTTTACTTCTAGTTTGTAGGTGTTTGGTTGAATTAAATGAAGTGAGAATGAAAATAAGAATAAAAGTTAAACATAATTTCATGCGTGAATGTAAGAATAAAAATAAGATGTGAAATTTTTTTCTTCAAAATAGTGATGTATTATTTTTATTTATTATATATCGCTTATTTTTATCACTACCATATCACCATCATTAGTGATAAAAGAAATTTCAAAAAAAATATTATTATTTTACATAACTCGTTTCAACTATTATTACTTTCATTACATCATTACTATACTCTTATTCCACTATCATCTCTTATAGTGGTGGTATCAATTTTTCAAAAATATATTATTGTTATTACTATATTATTATTATTGTTGTTATCATCGCTTTTTTGTCTCTCTTCCACCATCATCACTCGCTACAGATCATCCCTATTATTTTTGTAATACCATGTACCTAAAAAGTTAACTAAATAATATTTTATATGCATGAAAAATATTTTCTATGACAATAGAGTAATCAATATATGTGTGATAGAATATTTTGTACACTTGCTTGAATTTTTATATGTTGTGTGAATATTTTATTAGTGTTTATGTGAAAAACATATGCAATTATGTAAAAGTAATTATTTAGTGTGTCCATATGCATGCATAAAAATTATGTGATAGGCCAATAAATTTTATTTGATAAGTGCATGAATATATTCTAAAAAGAAAATATTTAATTGGGATTTGTAGAATTAATTATGCCTACGTAGAGACTTAATTGCAAAATCTTAGGGACCCAATCGAATAGGTATTTAATTTAATTTATAAATAAAATATAGGGAATATGTTGAAAATTGGGAATCCTAAGCGGAGGGCTTAATCGATAAAAATTAGAAGTTTAGAAACTAAATTACAGAGACCCAATTGAATTAAATAAATAAATCAAGGGACCAAGATGAATTTTTTGGAGGTAAATTCTTAAGTCTAAAAATATCGGATTTGCTTTGTTAAAAAGAAGAACATGCATTAATTAAGAAACCATTGGATTAAAACAAATGGAAGGTCTTGATAATTTCTAGGAAATTCAACTAAAATTCTGAATATTTAGGCTTATAAATTCAGCCATGAAAGGGAGGATAAGAGGTTGACGAAGCTAGGTAAAAGAAGGAGAAGCTCGACCAAAAATTAACTCTCCATACACTAAAAATTCACCAACAAAAACACTAAACAACCTTAACACCTCAAGGAACTAATTTAGAAGATCAAATAAGCAAGGAGAAGAAGAAGATAGGGTAGGTCAAAAATTTAAAGTAGAAGAGGAAAAAAGAAATTCACAAAATTTCAAGTGAAAAACAATTAAAGAGCAAATTAGGTTAGTATAGTTTTTACTACACAACTTGAACTTAATTAATTTTGAGTTTATTTATGAAGTCATTAGGTTGTTGTGATTGATGTTAGTACATGAATACGTGGTTGTTGGATTGAATTTAATGTTGGTGAAGTGAGTTGATGATGTTATGTAATTGATTATGCATGAATTGTTAGGTTTGTACAATTAGTTTAAGTTTAATTGAATAAATTGAATTAATTAGGGTTAGGGTTCTTGAACATGTGAATTGGGAGAAATAATTTAAATGTTAAAATTGATGAAATTGTTGATGAAATAGACTAATTAAGCATGTAAACAAGTAGTAAAAATGAAAAACTACCTAGCCTAATTCAAGAAATTTTTTTTGGCCAAATTGGAAAATTTTAGGGTTTAAGATTTTTGATTTATTGATGTTTAATTGATAGAATATATGTTATTAAAGTGTAATTAGATGATTTAGCATGTGAATTAATATTAAAATTAAAAAATTCACTTACCTTAAACTAGGTGTATATTTGGTCAAATAGAAAAAAAGATTAGGGTTAGAAGTTTATTCCATATGTTATTGTTGTTAGATAAATTAAATACGAGAATTAGAACAATTAAATGGGCGAGTTAGTATGTGAATTAGCACATAAAATGAAAATTTCACCTAGCTTAGTCTAAGAGTATGTTTCGGCCAAATTTGAATTTTTAGAGGATAATTTAAGTAATTGTATTATTGTGTGATTACGAGATTTGAAGGTTATTTCAAAGTGCTTAATGTGTTGAAAGTACATAATTATGTGTTATGGCATGATTATTGTCTGTCGGTGGAAATTGTGTAATTATTGCAATTAATTGTGTATTGGCGATGATGTGCCATGGATTTTTTTTGTGGTCCGAATCGATGAATATGATGAATTAATTGTGTGCATTTTAATTATGCTTGATATGTGCATTTTATGCTTTAAATGCATATTATCATGTCATGCACATTTTATGGATATTCAAAGATTGCACATTTAATTTAAATGCATATTCATGTCATAGCATGAAAAGTTTTATGACATTATTTTTAAAGGAAAAAGAAAAGGGAAAAAGATATGAATTGTTAAGGAAATCTCTAGACACTTTCAAAAAGAAAAAGAAAATGAAAATGACATTATTATGTAAGAGGAATTTATCAACATCTTGTGAGGAAAAGGAAAAGAAAAAAGGAAAAAGGTTCTTTCTAAAAGGAAAGAATGAGGAATGTAATTTATATTATTCTTTTTGGACGAAAAAAATGAGAAAAAAAAAAGATGTCTAGTGTTTTTTGTGAGTTTTCACAAATTGCATATTTTGAAAGAGGATCGATTATATACACAATCAACGAGTTACGTCTAAAAAGGAAAATGAATTTCAAAAAAACATGAAAAGGATTTTAAAATACATCACATGCACCGCATGGAT